AGCAGCTTCGTTCTTCTGTATCAGTAACAAAGAGTGGCATATTGAATGACTTGGATCATTTGATGTTTTACGTTCAGGTCTGAAGCGCGCCAAGAAAAGACTCAGATTAGCCTGCGATTGACCAACATGCAAGCAGAAGCCCTCCTCCAAGCGGCAGTTTTCACCATGTCACAGCACAGAATGATCATGGACCAATTCTGTACCATGAATCATGATCTTGGGTGACAGAGTGTATCTATTTTAAACATGATATTAATACACAGTACTGGTACATGCAAACCCTTCATGATTATCTAAGAGAAGTTAAATAACCAGCTGTGCATGGAGCTTGAATTATATCACCAGGGGCCCATCACCCGGGAGGACTTGGGATCACCGGGGCCAGGAGTCCCAACGGCGTGGTCGGCCACGCACCCAATAGCTCGGCCGCCGGACTTCATTTAAACAGCCCCGAGCCACGCGGATCAAGCGAGGATTTGTTGGGGATGTCCAACCAAGCATATATTGGGCTTCTGAAACCATCGAAGAATCTTTTGGGCCTTCTGAAACATCTCCACACCGACCACTCGATGTTGCCGGTGTTGGCGGAATGAGGAGAGCTCAGCCTTCTCCGATCAAGCAAGAACCGTACGACAATATTATTCAGATGACGTGTGCTCTTTTGTAAGACATAGTGTAGCATTCAAAGTTTTTCTGCTAATTCGAGAGTCAGGTGACAGTTGTTTCCTATCTTCAAGGGGAAAAACAAGTAAGGTGTCCAGCAACGAAGCCTGTCAAAAACTGTCCGTCGGGCATCTGGTCGTGTTCTGTCTTCCTTCGAGCCAAACTCACTCTTGAGCTTCTCCACTTGTGACATGCGGTTTGTTGGAAGAGATAGAAGGTGACATAAACCCGTTCAATTTTGATAACTGGACAACTATGCATGGTTATCCCACAGTTGCCTCAGTTATCTCCTGTCACTCTTACCATACAACGAACTGTTCCTCTTGGAACTGTCACCACTACGGTCCAACTCGTGTTTTCGGGATCAAGTCGGATACCCGTCCTGGCCGCGCTGGAGAAGTCAGGTGGTGGTCTTCGTCCTGGGCGGCATCACGCTGCCGGAAGTGCGTGCGGCACACGAGGCGTTGATGGCGACAGATCTGCGATCGCAGAGGTGGTCACGATGAGTCACTATGATGAGTCACAACATGACGACTCGCTGGATTTTAATACAGACCAGACATAGACTCAGACAGACTCGATTGATTTTCAATCAAATGCATGTTTTGCTATCGAATGTCGAGAGGGGCTCCGGCTTGGGTTGCAGGCGGCTCATAGGATTTGGTCGCATCCATAGGATTCGTTCCTGTGTGGCACTGACAGTAATGCACATGCATGCCGCACAGACAGTAATCATTTGGATGTATCTGGTTTCTATTGACAGGCACCGTTGCAGCGTGAGCACATTTCAGTGCTGCAATGGCAACCACCATTCAGTCAAAATACATTGCAGGAGCCACACGGCTGGTTGTTGTGCCTGCTAATGATGTGATCATAAGCGTGCTTGTTGCAGGTTGCAGTTGTTGCTCCCAAACTTTCCGAGCCAACTTGCCACCCCCTCATCAGGTCCTGGTGATGTGACAACCACCCCAACTTGGAATCCTTGCAAATGGTACTGTAATTCATCTCGTTCCTGACAGATGATCGACTCAAGTGGTTGATGGATGTTTCATCCGCCACCACCGACCCTTCTAACCTTCTTTGTGGATTCTATCACCGGGTCATCACCAACCCATGCTCCGCCCCAGGGCATCCGCGGTTCGCAGGTGACGGCACAACTGCCTGGCATCCAAGCCTACGTCGGTGCGCAGGGTCCGATGCCACGGCGACGCCACGTGTGGGAAGTCCAACGATCCTATGGACCTGGGAAGCCTCTTGACTTGAGCCATGTATCGGTTACTTCTCCCTTGAAGGAGCTCCGGAGCTCCGGAGATGTGTGGTCGAAACAGAAACAGTCTGAAGACAAGGTCTGAAGACAACGTCTTCTGGTGAAGGTGTCAAAGGCAATGCGTTTTTTTCCACGTCCGAGCGGCCAAGCGCACGCGTGACCATTCCAACGCCCCACACGGGACCCAGTATGTCTCCTGACCGGACGCGAGACCGGGGACAGGGGTGAAGTCTATTTTCTCAATGGCCATGCTGGACAGAGTCGATACAGGGTAAGGTATGTAAGGTTGAAATCACCTGGCCAGGTGGCAACTGCCTGCTGACACCCAGTAGCTTCTTGGAGCTCTGGGAATCCTCGTGAAAAGACCTGCAGACGATGGCCCGGCGGATTCAGTGTGAAGTTTGAAGGAGTCATGAAGAGTAGTGAGTAGTGGTGAACAGTTGGCGTGCTGTTGCCTTTAAACTGAATCTTGCTTTGAAGAGGCTTAGGTGATGGATTACAACAGTTCAGGTTAGACTCTTTGATTGACTTTGGATGCAGGGTGATAGTCCATTCACTACTTGCGTTTCTTTTATCCGAAAGATGGGTTGATGTCAGGTTTACAGTTTACCACTCCCAGATGCTCGAAGTCTCTTCGGGCTGCACTCATTCGTGCTTGCGCACTTGATGAGTTCACCTCGCCCCCCCTCCACACGGGACCGAGTTCCCTTCCGCTTCGGTGAGTGTTCCCGTTGTTCTTTTTAAAGGGAAACGTGATCACTGCCATGTATAGGGCGCGTCCTTCATCCGATGTCTAGGGTCCGGTTGTAGGGCCGGTTGTAGGGCCGGTGTGGGGGGGGGGGGTCGGTCGGTGGTTGGGGGGATGTGACGTGGCCCTGTCAAGCTCTCAGAGTCAATTTGGCTCGGAAAAATGATCACAGGAAGCATCTCAAGCCAAGGCACCAGCCGCCTGAAGAAAGCATCTCACTGACGCGGATAGGTTAGGACTTGCAGTGTTGTGACTGTGACTCTAGTGACTCTAGTTCTAGTCTTTGGTGAACGCCAAGAACCTCAGCGTTCTTTTTGTATGGAGTGTTTCCCATCAACCAACATCCGATGGAATCAACGGATGACGTTGGCCGGTCTCTTCGAGCACATTCCTTGGAACCAACGGTACAAACGCTGTATGGTTTGTACCAACGGTGCTTATCAGAGTTTGTCAGCGTAGCAGGTCGATCATGGAAGAGTTTCAGTTGTTGCAAGCCCAAGACCGAGGATTTGAACAGATCCACGGGTTTCTGCCGTTCCAACATACATTGTAGGAATTCTCCCAGAATTCAACCAGATTCCCGGACCCCCCCATTCCAGGCCTGCAGAGATTGGGTATTCCCACCCTTTCCGCCATTGGCCCCACGTAGCCAAGCCATGTTGCAATGCGTCTCGGCAGTGTCCGACAGGCGCAACTCTTTGGTGTTTGCCGTGCCGGTGACATGAAAGACCTGCTGGACACAGCACTGTCTGGGACAGATCATCGATCACCTTCCCCGATTTGAGTGGTGGAACAAGATGAAATAAAGACCTCCTACAGTACGGTAGTAGATCCTAGCAGCATTCAGCAGCCTAGACAAGGCAAACAAGATCCTCAGTGGTTGACAGGTCGGACCTTCTCCTCGAGACCCCTTCCCATCGGGGTTGCCCTTCCCGGGCCCCAAAGAGGTGTTCGACTTCTCAAAAACGCGATAGGATATACTCCCTGGAATCATCATGGAAGTGGATGGCATGACCCCTCTACAGATAGAGCCAGCCTGCGGTTCTCCACTTTCGTGATCATTCCAGGGAGTGTGACTCAGGTTTGGTGTGGACAGACATCCATAAAGGTTTGGTTCCCTGGTCCCTGGGTCTGCGACTTCCGGTGAGTTTGGGGGAAGAGGATCGTCTCGGTGAGAGGAAGCTCCACCATGTTCCAGTCATTTTGTCTCGCACGGATTCCTCACGCAGTGCCAGGTTCAGCAGCCTATCTGGGACACAGGCGGATAGATGGAAGAGTGAGAGGTGGATGCAAATCCGTCGGCGTTTTCATTCGCAGTGGATGGAAGAGTGATTAGAAGGGACTGAGGGTCGATTCAAGCTAAGTTATAGGGATCTCTATTGGTGAAATCATGGAAGCTGGGGAAGGCACATGGATGGCCACGTATACAAACGTCCACCAGACTGCTGGACACGGGAGCTCGGCTTGGTTTTGGAGAAAAAACATGATGTCCCCAAACCGAACGTTGGGTCACCTTTGATGTTCTTGAGGTCAATTCCATGAACAGGAGGGATGCACTTGGAGGATAGATCCTCCTCAGTAGCAGAGTAGATCCCACACGTGCCATGCCATCCCATTCGTCCTTCCGGTTGAGACGGTGGATGATGAGAGACATCGATTGGGGGAGGTTGATTTTTTTCAATGCAACTGATGGTGTGGTACAGACTGGGGGCGGAAGTCATCGCCTTATATTCGACTTTCAGATATTCTCAGTACAGGCGGAAATCTGTTGAGCCAACGGGCCAAGGTATACCAAGGATCTCAATTCAAGCCTTACTATAGAAGAACATGCCTAATGCCTCACTGAAAACCAGTCAGTGGCCTAAGGCCTTAGGTCATGGTGACATTGATGGATGACCAAGCACTGTCAGATGGTCAATAATTCCCCACAAGGTAGCTCAGTCAGTCGTGTGTTTCAAGAAGGGTACAAATTAGACTTCTATCAAACTTGGAAGGCTGGCGGGAGCGACTTTCCTTACCTAGTGTTCACCAAGGACGATGCAATTATGCTGTAGAGCTTTCTGCCACTGGGTTCTATGTTAGGCCATTCGGTGAATGGCATTGTGTTTCCCTTCTCGCAAGAGGCCTAATATATACCTATACTATACTCTATACAAATAGATAGGCTGAAAGGTGCAGGTTGTCCGCTGTGCGACTTTAAGACTTGTAGTGATCCCTCACACAAACTAAGAGATGTTTCTCTTGAACAATATACATCGGGAATTGTTTCGGTGGAAAGTGGAAACAACAAGTTTTTCCAAACTGTTTAGTTTCAATCAGATCCAGCCTAGTGTCTTTTGCCACAGACGTGAAACTCGGGAACACCTGCACGCTTCTGAACTGTTTCTTGATGGCATGCCCAACTTCTTGGAATTCTCAGACTTGAAGCCCTACACATACATACAGCTTTAGTTACAGTTTTTAGCTAGGGCATTGCCAAGTTCAGGAACACATCCTACGTGCATATCAGCACACCCTTTTCTTCCTCAGACCCTGCCCCCCACTGAAGACCCTCAGTTGAAATGATTCTTCCACCTGCAACGACCCGTCGTTGTGAGCCTTGTCCCGCAGAGCTATCAGTTCCTCATGCTGGGTCTGGAGGGCGCAGGGAAGACCACCTTCCTGTACAAGTTGAAGATCAACGGGTGCGCTGTGGCAAGCATTTGGGGTTTGGAGTCCGTCACATGGAAAAGAGCGACGTCTTCTCTTTGAGCGGACGTGTCGCATGAGTTGGTGTGGGACCGGACCTGTCGAATGTGGATTGGACATCTACGACTCCTCGAGCTCTTCAGTTTTCCAGATGCCTCCCCTTCCAAAACCCCCCCAAAAGTCCAGCACTGATACCTGTACCAGTCTCAGTCGTCCACCCAGGTTCGACCCCGAAACAGTTTGGGCGACGGACTGAGGTACAAGAAGGCTGACGTCACCCAGGTTCGGCCGGGGACATCGCTGTCAGCGATAATCACGATGCAGTCGGGTTGGCTGCCGAGAGACCTTTTGGTCCAGTTCCATTTTCTGGAGGAATCAGGTGATTGTGAGATCTCTCTCTCTCTCTATATGTATATGTATTTATATATTTAATTACTTTGTGAATTTGACCCGAGATCGACTCGAGATCTGTACTTCACCAATGGGATTTCCAAGCGAACCCAGCATGAGGGGTTGGAGAGGCGACAAGGGTGGCACCAAGGGTATTAGAAACAATAAGCTACTAGGAACAAGTGCATCGCTACTAGTAACAAGTGCCTTACTACTAGTAACAAGAAGCTATTAGAAACAAGAATTAAATTAGAATTAAATTAACAACCCATTGGCTTTCACTTGGCTCCTTCACTTCTTGCTTCTCATCCACGCGACGGCCGATCTCGGCGAAGCGATCGACTTCCCATCCCCTTCGGCTCGGTGGCAGGACATGGTCTACCTTAAGGCCGCCAAACAAGACCCTGGGCTGGGGGCCCTGAAGACGCGATGACCGGTCAGGGAAGGTTAAGAATTAAGACTTGGCATCTGAGAACTAGAACATCAAGCTGGGCATGTTCCGCCCTTCTTTCCCTTACGCCTTACAGATTCTTACAGATCTAAATTCCTGAGGTATGGTCCATGGTTGGTTGAGCAACTGCATCTTCCCATGGCTATGCTGCTAAGATGTGGGAAGGGCAGCAAGATCTCCTTTTCGTGTGAAGAGGGACCCTTCCGAATCGCCCCAGCGCTTTTTTTGTGGGGCGAACCATGCTGTCCGCATGAGCAGACTCACTGTGACTCACTCGTTCTTCAATCCTTCTGACCCCTCCCTTGGTGAGCTTGGTGAGCTTGGTGACCTTGTGGGGTAACCAAAAAGGGACCGACACCTCCCCGCTCTTCGCGCCACGCGCCGCATGGTCCGGCGGCCTCGGACCTCACCGGACGGGCAGGTACCACTTCGAGGAGCTCAGTAGTCCCACCATCGGGTGCCGCGACCACGGGGTCCTGGAATGGGGTGAATCCACCACGAGGTCGTGGGCCAGTGGTGCGTGTCCTTTTGGGAAGCGACGTTTTGGATGTGAAGATCTTGAGACCTCATAGAGCGAGCAGGGCACAGCGAGAAAGTGAAGAATGGAATGTCGGATTAATCGAAGGCTCCCCCCCTTCAAGGTCAACAAGGTCAACAGGGTTAGAGATTGGAGGTTTTGGAGACCACCATCCCCAATAAACGTGAAAGTGATGACCTGATGATGGATGATGAGGTGATGACCTGCACCTGATGATATTGGATGCCCACTGAAAAAAAAACTAAATCATGATTATAATTATGACAAATACAATTTTCCAATTTCCTGGGGGCAGATGGTTTGTGCCAAGAAGAACATATTTGTTGTCAATGTCGACATTTTGGTTTTAACATAGTTTAGCATTGGGGGATCGAGCTGGGCTTGATTCATACGGGTGCGCATTATATATACAGTCTGATACAGTATACAATTACTATAGCTGGTGGTTAGGAGGGAGCTAAGGAGCTGGGGGTATCCATATTCCCCTTTAAACAGGGGGCCAAGGAGCTACAGGCAAACCCCAAAGGTTGCACTGCGGAGATACCATATGGGCCAAGAGAGTATCCTGGTAGAAGTCAGGATCATTCACAGGTCTTCCTGCGAAAGCAGATTTCCATGCCTTGTTGGTTTCCTTGAAGTACTCTACATGCATCTACTCGAGGATTGAGGAGAAAACTGTCTATTTCCATGAGAAGTCTCCAACCCAGAATAGAATCATTGGACTGGAACACCCAGAATCCGACTTGCTCGCTCCCAACTTCTCTAGGCAGTACAGCATCTGGGAAGTGCCTGGCAATGACGTGATGCGACCCCTGTGGCCGATGTTCTACAGGCGGGGCACGTGAACGACCTGATGGGTGTACACATGACATCACATGACACACCGTGGAACCTGAAGGAACCAGGACCCTTCTAGGGTTCTCAGTGGCAGCCGCGCACATCGCGGCGCCCACATCGGGCTGCGCCGGTGCAGGTATCTTCGGATTCATGGGGTCTTCTTTGTGGCTGGGGGCCAGAAGGGGTGAGGGATGGGAGCTTGTGAAATCGCAGTGATTATGCAGGTTGCGCGGTGATGACCATTAACATCCATTAGCCGATTTTTGAAGAATTTGCTGTCAACAAACTCTGCGAAGGGAGTAATCGAATCGCGATCTTCGTGAACCCAGCCGTTGCACATGGCACTCGATGGACATGTTGACATGGAGTGACTGGAACGTGGTCGCCAAGGTGGACGCCTTCTCAGAGCAGTGCTTTGACCTGGACAAGGTCGGCATGGGGTCCCCTCCGTCGCCCAGCCAGGGGGTCCTTTTTGGTGGTTCGTTGGGTTCGTCAGGCTCGGGTGGAAAGTGGGAACTGGATCGAAACCGGTCTGGAATCCGGTTCTGGGAGTTCAGGACCATGCAGGATTCAATAAGTTTCGGAGAAACTCTCCTAGCCACGAGTTTGGAGCTTTTTACTTTGGGGGCGTGTGCTTCACCCTATCGAGCTCCGAAATGTTTTATGCGTGAAGGCCGGGATTCGTTTGGGTCCAAATGTGGAGTATGTGGGTGCCTTGAAGCTGTTTCCAGTATAGTTCAATCAACTGCGTTCGAGTTGATGGAACACCTCGGTTTGGAGCCGGGCTTCTCAGAAAGAAGCTGGTTCAGAACTGATGCTGAGCAGCCCGGGACTAGTCGGATTCCCAATCAGGGCCCATCAGGGCCCGTATATAAGTCCGGCGGGGTGTTGGCAAAGGCGAGACTCCTCAAACATGGGTTTCACTTTCAAACCATGGTGTTCCACACTTGAAACATGATTCCTCAAACATGGTTCCAATGGTGGGAATCATGTGCTTTTGGGGGCCACTTTCATGGTTTGATTCCATTCCCCTTCCCAGTCCCACACATGCTTCCGTCCCAAAATGGTGGGGAGTGTACTGCTTGCTTGGGTTTTCGGAAAGCGGCTTGAGGCCAAAGACCTATTGCAACGCCTTGTGATTGTTCTTAGTCTTAGTGGTTGCAATACCAAAGCAACAGGATTTCTATGTTGATTGGTGGTAGAGAACAAGCCAATCCTATATAAGGGCCCGCAATAAACCCCCACATTCTTGTGTTGTTGTGTGCCCCTATCCTAGCAGGATTGGAGAATGAATGCTTCAAAGACTGGGTTGAAGGCTAGAGTTTGGACCAACGCCCAAGATCGAGAACCTCTGGAGGCGTCTCCTGTTTTGATTTGTGGCTTCTCACTCCTTTTCCCCTGGATGGGATGTTTCTTAATCGAATTGTGCTTTCTATGTTCATTTTTCTGAAGGTATCAGATTGGTGAGGTTTCAGACCAAAACCCAGCTCATCCCAGCTCCCAAGACATCGCTCTTCGTCTTCGGCGCCTCCCGCAAACGTCCAGGAGAATTTTCGGAAGCTCAGCAAGGCGCGAACCCTCTTTAGGAGCGGAGAGGAGCAGGTATGGCACAAAGCAGCTCTGGCGAGGGTCAAATGAGTGACATCCTTTAGTGGTCCGTTCAGTTCATTCAACCTGGAGTCAAGCGAGGTGCCTGTTTGCTCTGACACATGTTTGTTGTTTGTGCTTCTAAGGCCCAGAGATGCGGGTCATATTTAGTCATTTTTTTCAATGCAGGACATATGACGAGCAGATTTGGGGGAAAGTTCGGTCTAGCATTCACCCTGCCTCTGTGGACAAGGAATATGGATGAACATGCTTCGACCAGGGCCCATGCTTCACTTCCATTCGAAAAGGATCGCTCGGCTTCCACTCGTCTCTTCACACGATTCCCAGGCGCGCGATGCTTTGTTTCAGCTCGTGAATGAGGCCAGGAGCAGCTTCTGTTTGTGGGTTATGACTCGCTGGCGCCCCCCCAAGCCCAAGATTGGTTCCCCAAAAGAAGGTTCCTCAGCCGATCAGCACATGATTCCATGATCCTTCAAACACGCGGCTGGATTGATTGGCCCATCCCATGCCCCAAGAAAGGGCGCAGAGCTGCAGCTGCCCGTATCCAGTTTTCGTTCTTCGGCCTGAACTTGATCAAGCGTGCAACTTGGGATCAAAGCAAGTTCTTTCAGAAGTTGAACATCCGAGGGAGGTAGGACAACTATTAGTGGCCTGTGGTAGAATGTTTTGCCAGGTGCTTCGTTGGGAATGTTCCCTGCAGATGCGAGAGACAGGGGAGGGGCATTTTTTTGACAAACAAACACTTAGGCACACCCACCTCGGACCTTACAGGGCCTTTTGAGTTTCATGCTCAACTTGCCGCCTGAGGTATTTACGGCCCTTCTCAAGGGTCATAGAGGGGAGGGGCTTTCAACTAATACACACGTAGATGCGGTAGATTTTTTCGGACCTCCCCAAATACGACATCCGATGCAGCATGACTTGCAACTAGCCCAATGCCTGCAAGGTTTTGTGAATGCCAGGTGCTGTTTCATTTGTTTTCTATATCTTCATTAGCAGCATCGAACGTCGAAAAAAACTCTTCGACACGTCGCGCTTCGAACCCCTTTTTGTTCCGGAAACACCCCAAATCAAAACCAAACAACCAATTCAGCTCAAGACTCCTTTCCGGGGTGAAGCAGCCTTCACTTTTTTTGGAACCCGCTTTTGTTCGGGTCTCCGGAAGGACGAGCTGCGGGTCTCCGTCTTCTTCTTGGCGAGGGCTCCCCAGAAACCACCGTTCACAGCCAACGCGGTCACTGGCGTTTGGCCGGAGACACCGCGAGATCCATCAGATGCCGTGTCGATCCAAAAGCTTTTGCTGAGCTTCGTTTTGTACGTGAAATACGTGTTTTTTCTCGGGGTTCCACATGGTTTGTGGGTGGACGATTCTGTTCCGTGACCGGATATCTTGGGATTTTGATGGACTTGGGCTTTCTGGGGGGACAGATCCTGGGCTGACATTGTCTCCAGAACAACAAAAGCACCTGAAAGGCACCTTCTGAAAGGGAGTAGAGTGAGCAATCCGATGCAATCTTTCAAGGACACCTATGCAGATCGCTGTGCTCCCTTCTCCCTCCGCTGGCATCAGGTTCTCAATGTGAAGCGCAGCACGGAAGATGCGGCGCGGAAGGAAGAGGAGGACACTGGAGTTTGGAGCTGGAGCGAGACGGGGACGGAGCTCACCAAGCAGCTATCGCTTTGGGTTCCGAAGGAAGGACCAGTTCTATCCTGAGGGGTCAACAGCGATCGAGAACATCCCACACTGAACCTTTAGAATTCGTGTATTTTCTGGTCGTTTTCTGCCGATGCATCAACTGTGCCGGAGGGGGACATGTTGGGAAGATGACTCTGGTCCAGACTAGCCATATCCAGCCAGCCTTTGGACTGGTTGGAGATGTTGGAGGAGTAGTTGCGAAGGGAGAGTCGCCATTCTACTAGACTAGACTAAGGGCGGAGGCAATTGAGTGGTAAGGCAACCGAGGGTTTGATTGTAAGGGTAGTAAGAAAAATAATGAACACAGAGAACATCGGGGTTAATTTGAGACAGAGCTGATTGTTCGAGCAAGACAGCTTCGACTACATTGCTTGAAGGTCCATGTATCTTGTAACCTTGCAAGGCGTGTACAGCTAGACCAGATGTATTTCTTGTGCAGCCGTCAATAATTAACCTTGCAAGTGGCTACTGAAACTGGCTTAAGAACATTGATACTCACGTTGGCATGAGGCCAGATACAAGACATCGGACGAGAAAGGGCCCTAAGGGACAATTGGTAAACACATTGAATAATTAGCTGGCGTTTAGCTTTTTGGGTGATGATTTGTGGCGCATCTCACACTTTTGCATGATCAAAAAGAGGGGTGCACCATCTATCCAACCAAGTATGAGGCAGCTCCACTGCACTCGCTCAGACAGGAACAGGAGGAGAATGCTCTCTTCGAGGTGGGGTGTTTGTGATTGAGATCGGTACTGCAGGTCGATCGGTGGATTCTGGATCTTTAATGCATGTTTTATGCACATGTCTTGACTGCCTGCAAGCCGGTGAGATTACCCATCTGACAGTCCCACTAGTCGACTCAGGTTTATAAATCCAGTTGCTCCGCCATGTCCCATCGAAAGCGTATTTTTGACCAATGGACCATCAGTAATCAGACGTCGAAGGGGTTCCGAAGCCGGGCCAGATGTTGGGCGTGCCAGAGATTGAGCAAATGGCTCACATGAAGACCCGCTTTCGGAAGGCCCGCGGACTGTTGTTGTTGTTGTTGTTGTTCTTAAGCCTTTTCCAGACAGGGCCTGCCATGGTCGTTCCCCGGCCGGCTCGCTCCGTCACCTTCTGATGGCGCGCTGAGCGCTTGCGCCGCGGTCGTCGTGCGGCCGATTGGATGTGGAGCTTGACCTGCTGGCACACTGTGCTTTCGATCCTTGGAGCTTTCGTGCTTCTCAATTGCATTAGTGTGGACCAGGTCCTGCCTGGACCGCGGCCCCAAGTCCGCGGCATGCCTGGCACTTTGATGCCTTCCAAGCACACCCAGTCAGGCATGAAAGGTGAGGGTTGTTGGTCGGTCATGAGACCAACTGAAGTGGCGCTTCATACTGTGTTAGATCACTTTGTTGAGCCTGCCACAAACATGCATGACCCCACATCTTCCTATTTACAGATCACTAAAGGATCTTCGATTAAAAAGAGGAGTTTCAGAAGAGCCAAACAAAGGGCTTTGACTTGGGGGTACACTTGGTACCATGGCCGTCTTGTCACTCCTGCCTCGTTAGGATGTCAAACATGTAAAGTCCGCCAGCTTGCCCCATCGAATACTAAGCCTGTCGAAGCACTGCATCCGGCCCACCAATGGCGGATGACTGAACCCCGACGCCTCAGGAATCGATGCGGCATTCTCACATGGAATGCAAGCGGGCTGACAGCTGCGGCGCTGCAGGAAGTGCTGCAGTGGGCTGGACCTCAGCACGTCCAGATCGTGATCCTGACGGAGACCAGGTGGCAAAAGCAGCCGCGCCTGGAATCAGCAAGGTTGGCATTGCTTCTTGTCCGCCGGACAACCGTATAGGTCCTGTGCAATTGTTGCATGCATTCGTACCTCCATGTGCCATGCTGAACACATTGGTTGGACCGAACTTCGTGCTGGACGCCTTCTACACATTCGTTTGTTTCTACCGGAACGAGCGCTCGATGTCGTTTGTGCATACCAGTTTGCGTATCATCCCAACACACACACACCAAAGAAGCTAGAAGTACCTGGTTCCAACTTTTGGATAGCACTTTGGCCTCCTTCCCGAATAGAAATCAACTGATCTTTGCAGGGGACCTGAACACGAGTCTTGCCGATGACAAGTGCACTGTAGGCACGGCCGGCTTCCTCAATCCGGATGGAAGTCACAATCCCGGTACAGTCCACGCCGATCACAAACTCCTGCAGGCCATTCTGCAGCACCATGGCATTGTAGCACTCAACACTTGGCATAGTCCGTCTACTGCTGCCTATTTTTCATCTTTGAATAATGGGTCTAGAATCGACTATATATGCACTAAGTACCGCCAGGCTGATCATCTCGCCAAACAATGTACTCCACTCAGGGACTGGCCACCTTTGCCTGTGACCACTCAGGGTCACTATCCGGTGATTGGCGATGTCCCGCTCAGGTGGACAGGAACCCAGGGCTGCACGCTTTCGAACATCAGCTATGCAGCTAAGGAGACTTGTAGACAAGCACGTCGTTTTAATCAGCCGGAGTGGAAAGAATTCTGTGGTGCTACAACTGCCTTCCTGGAGGAAACCAAGTGGCCCTGCGATGGCAACTTCGACGAAATCCATAGAGGGCTCAACCGAATCTTCAAGGCCCATTTTTCTCCGGTGACTCAACCTTCAACTGAAATTGATGTTATTCTAGCCCGGACCAAATGGGACATTCGTAGTTCTCTCCAGGCCATTCATGGCCAAGAGATCAAGCAATGTTTTCAGGCATGAAAGCTGTCACACCAACACCATTTGTGGCATGCGCGTCATGCGGAGGCCATCAAACAACGCCGAGAGGAAAGATTGCATTTTCTTCTTGAATCCGCTGAGGCCGCCGCACGTGTCCATGACATGAGTAAGCTGTACCAAATAATCAATAAACTGACCACAAAAACCAAACCTGACAGGATCCAGCTGCGATCAGATGCGGGTCATCTCCTTGAAGCCTTGGACCAACTGAGGCCTTTCAGGTGCTCTGTAACTTTGTATCAGAGACATGGCATGGTACCCCCCTCGCACCGGCACTGGCGCCCGCTCCAGGTGTTCCTTTCAGTGAGAGCGATCTGGAGAGTGCAATTAGGCGAATCCAAGGTTCCCCGGTTTGTCCGGCTTCTTGGACGGCTTCGGCAACAAGAACAGCCAACCATCCCTCCATTCTTGGGGTATGAAGGGGCGGGAAGCGTTCCACCATTGGTGCAGGAGAGGCATCAGCTTGGTGGCTATCATGGCAGCCATCCCAAGAAGCGAGAACCCAGGGCTTGTGTGCGGTGCCATGGATTTCATACCTCCGTCCCTTGGCGCTTCAAGCTGGGCTGGGGAAAGCTGTCCTCAGTCTTGTTTGTACGCAGGCACGCACTCAGGCCATGCCGAAACTGGTGGTTTTCCCCCAGTTTGCATACATGCAGGGACGGGGCTGCGAGGACGCCATAGCTAGAGCTTTGATGCACTGCAACCGAGTCATTTCCCAGAAAAGAATACAGTATGCATCCCTCACCCCCGAAAATCTATGGTGGAGTGACCCTTAGCATTGATCTTCAAAGAGCTTTCGATACGGTCCCTAGAATGGAACTTTTTTCGAGCCTTGAGGACTTAGGTGTCGATCAGCCCCACTAGACGTTGCTTCGAGCCTGGCATGAAGGAACATGTTATCACGTAACCCATAAATTTCAGACCGCCTCTATTCCTATTAACTTAGGCATTAGACAGGGATGTGTTGCGGCACCGTTTTTGTGGATTTGTTTTACGGTTCATCAAATGCAGAAGCTTGCTCGTTGCACGGGAGAAGATTGGCTGCGAGATGCCATCACCCTGTTTGCTGATGACATATTGGCACAGGGACAATTCGGGAGCCTGGAAGAATGCCAACAGCACCTGAGACGAATGGGAGCATTGCCTGACCTGTTGGAAGAAGCTGGAATGAAAATCAATTTGAACAAGACTGAGGCCATGCTCACAGTCCATGGTCGTAATCAGAACTTGCTTCAAAGTCAGCGTGTGCAGAGGACTGCTAATGGGTACTTCTTGAAAATCCCCCGGAAGCAATCCATCTCTCTGATCAGGCTGACCTCCAAGGGTGGCTATCTGGGTGTCCAATTGACCTATGGCAATCCTCAAACAGCCACACTGCAAAGACGGTTTCACGCCGGTCAGATGGCTTATAAACGCCTGACCTTTTGGCTGAGAAGGAAAAGAGGCCTCTCAACAAGATACAGATTGGCCATTTGGAGAGCTACAGTCCAATCCACCTTGATCTATGGTACATTGATTGTTGGACTGAACAGATCGGGGCTCAGCAGACTGGTATCGACATTGACAGTGATGCAAAGAATGATATTGGCAAATCACTCATTTCGCACTGGTCAGAGTCACACAGATTTCTTTCATGAACAACAGATAGAACCTCCTTTGGCTTATATCCGTCGTCTTTGTTTGGCCTTGCTCCGACGTCAAAACCTCAGACTTTGCAGCTGCACACAGAACGACATCTTGCATTGTGTGGACTATGAGGGTCCCAAAATGATACTGGATGTGATGTCAACCATGGACACCGTGGACAGGTGGCTGAGCCCACCCACATTTTCCTGCCCGGTGTGTGACCTGCAATACAGTAATGCAGCGCAGCTGACCAAACATCTACAGGCAACACATGCCATTCACAGCCGAAAACCGCACCTTTTCAGGTACGACCGTGACGCGGCTGAAGGACCACCGAAGTGCAAGCACTGTCACGCCCGATTTCAGTGCTGGACTAAGCTCAAGCAACGCATCACACATGGGTATTGCAATGCATATTCGAGTGGAATGCAAGGAGAGACGATTCACACTGATCTCCAAAGCCACTTTCGAGCATTGTCAGTACCTCAAGCGTTAATAGAACTTCAGAATAGACCTGAATGGGCCAGATGGCTCACATGGCATTGTGTTCATTGTGGTTGTTTTCAAAAGTGCACCGAACTGGACAGCAGCACATTGCTAATGAACATCCTCAGATTTCGATGTCTAGTACTCATAAAATCTATCAACCATGGATAGCTCAGGTTCGTTCTCCATGCATGTACTGCAATAAGATCTTTAAGCGCTCTCATCAATGCAGCCCAGTGTTCCAGTTGGCCTCACTGTTTGCCACTCAGGATATGGACCTGCCGCAGCGCTCCGCTACCATTTGTTTGCATTGTGCTCAGATCTTCACGACAGATCCACAGCTCAACGAGCATTTGCGCAATGATCATCCCCGATACAGTTGCATCAGGGACACTGTCAGGGGCCAGCCGCAGTGTCGACACTGCGGGACGGACTTCAAAGAAATCTGGGAACTTCAAAGGCATTTAAATCGTGGTTCGTGCAACTGCATCGACTACTTGGCTGACCAGCAAGGGGTACTAAGGAAAGAAGAAGCTATGCTAGAGTCACTTTTGTGGGGCACTTGGCGTCGTTTGCTCGACGGCGCCAAGAACAAGATGCTGCGCACCATCACCTGCACAATGTGTGGCCAAGGTCTACAGAGAGCCCCTGACCTGATGAGGCACATTTTTTGACGCAGCATGGACAGTTCCCAAGGCCTCAGAGAACTACACTGCATTGATTGAAGAAACTCAACCAGGGTGCAGTTGTAATCCAACCACAGCACAACAAAGAAGAAGCCATCGATGCCTGGCACATCGTCAGATTGCAATGCTACACCATGTACTCAATCCTGGTCACTTACAGGCACTGGTCCCATGGAAGACCGATCAATCAGATGTATTACGTCTCCCCACCAACAACCCCCACTTGCTGGCACAGGCTCCTACGCTGGCCAAGATGATTCAACAAGACCTGGATTGATGCCACCACATGCAAGGCCCTCAGCCATTGTCGTTCAGCGTGCAATAGAACCTTCAACACACCTCATATGTTGTTGGAGCATCTTGTACACCAGCATGGCGACCTGACCAACCGGATTGCGCAACTGTTGCTGTACGTGAGGCAGAGTGTGAAGGCTCAAGGCTTTGGAGCTCCTTGCACCCTTTGTGGCACTGAGCAATCCACCTATCAGCTGGAAGACAATAGTGCCTGGGCACTGATCTCACACAAGTGCCCCACCATTTTGAACGTGTGTCTCATCCTCGCTCAGCTTGGGCCCTATGGCACGTCGAGAGGAGCAAGTCAGGCTCACCGAAGCCGACCGAACCTCCCAGCTCCAGGCAGCATTCTTAAGCTCCACATCGACCGAAACGCCAGAAGCATCGAGGAGGAATGAAGCCGGAGATGAGGTCCCCAGACCCTCACAGAGACCAGAACCTGAACCAACTATGCAATCTGAAGGCCAGAAATCTGATCAGGCACGAGGACTCCCTCCAGTCGATACACTCCCAGGACAGCTTCATCCTGTACCTCAACAGGGGGGCGCAAGGCATTGTCCCTCAGCTGCTCCAAGACGGGCAAGGACTGGCGGGAGGAGAGCGAACCAACGAAACCTCTCCGAGCAAGTCTGATGCAGACAGTGATGGACCAGATGATGCAACGCTATACCAGCTTTTGCAACAAGCTCACCGACGAGACCTTCATGAAGGCCAATCACACCTGATTCTTCCGCGACCACCTTGCGGCCATTGAGCAGACAGGAGGTAGAGCAGAAACTTAGGGCCCTCCGCAGTGCCATGAATCAGCAGGAGAAGATCATCCGCTTCAACTCCATGGCGAGCCAGAACTCGAAAGGGGAAACATTCCCATGGAGGCTACAGGTTCCGATGAGGAACGATCAGTTGATGGTGCTCCTTCGCTCCTTATGTCACCACAGTGTCTGGCTGCTCGTTGCTGGCCGATTGAAACCACAAGGACTCCAGAGGACCCGCCTGGTACAAGATCTACAGGAAGCAACGATGACCAGGAGCACACGATGAATGAAGAGCGCTTCTCGCGTCAGGCTATGATTCAAGCACCGAGGACAATCAGCTTTAGCAATGATAGCGACTGGAGCTTCTTGAACTCCAGCCTGATGTGCTTTTTGTGGAGTCACCTCCATCGGAGGGGCTGTAACCTTGGGGGTTTTGGGGCAGCAGCAGCGGTCTGTGAGGCCCTTTTGCTTCAGCCTGGGGGGCAGGCTGTTCCTTTGGCAACCATGCCAGCTTTGAGCTCCTTGCTGAGGCGCACCGTGGAGACTGGTCCTAGAGATTGTGCTGAGTTTACAGCTGAGCTCCTTGAGTGGTGTGCCTGCTGCAATGTAGACATGAGCTGGGCCCGTCGTGTTTCAATGGCAGACCACGTTGTCTGTGAAGAAACTGGAGGAAAATGTCAGCCGCTAGCTCTTGATGGAATGTATGAGCTTGATCTTGCGTCCATGGCCACGGGGTGCGAGCTGCTTTCACACAGACACAAAGCATGAAAGTTATTTTTGCTGACCGCCTCATGAGCCTGACTCGGCACCTAGGCCACTTTCATCCGATCGATGTGCACTCGATGGTTGAATTGCCACATTTCTATGGTCAAGGGCTAGAGCTTCATTGGGCACAGTACCGCATTCAGGCCCTGATCTGCCACTTAGGATCCAGCCACACAGGACATTTTCGAGCTGTCCTCAGGCATGATGATCAGTGCTCACCACTGAACTCCCCAAATGGTGCATGGAGAGATCTGCCTCTTACTGAGGTCCTGCCAACCCAGACTGAGGATTCCAGTGACTCCGATGAAACTCCGCTACCACTGCAAGCTCAGGCCACTTCGAGCCTTGGAGATCGGTTTGATGGCCAGGATGAAGCACCGAGTTGCCAAGGTGCACTTGGCCAGGTTTTGAGAAGTGTCTTGGATCGAGTCTTGGATGACAGCCGTGCTCGACGGCTGCCTTGACGCTGGCTGCTGTGCTGCTGGATGCAGCGTGCAGCCGTCCGCTTGCGAGCTGCCGAACCGAGCGCTGTGCTGAACGCTAGCCGAGAGCTGCAGCCCTACTGAGGGCTGGTCCTGAGAGTCGATAGTTTTCATATGGATTCGGATTTTTGTATCCTAGTTGGATGTCCAATCCACGTACAGAAGATCTCATGATCCTATCAGCAACGGCTGATGGAAGATGGCGCGAGCGGAGAGACCTCCCCTTAGCGTGAGAGAAGAAGAAGTTGTTGTTCTTGTTCTTGTTATTGTTTTTCTTATTTTTGAGGTTCTTTCCGGATGGCGACAGCCGGGCGAGAAGATGGGTGGGTGGTTCTTTCTAGGGATTGTGGTGTCGCAATCGTAGGGTGAAAGGTTCTGTAAGGTCATGCAACAAACCCTTCCCACAACCCTAACTTTCTGCAAAGTCTGGCTGAAACACATATTTGTGGCATTCACTGGACTGGGATAGTGACTGCAGTAACATTCAGGTAGTGCACTGCTCCTAGAAATGATTCGAAATGTGTGCGCTGGCAGCTGGACCAGCAGCAGCGCCAACACAAAGAAGCGTCTGTTAAGATCTGTTAAGATCATGCGACGACGCGTGAGGTGGTCTTGAACTGTGCCAACATCAGCCGCAAAGATAGCCAGGAACTCGGATATTCTATGAGATTCCCCTTTTTTCCCCCTGAAGGCTTAGCGGATTCGCTTCATGGACATGACAGAAATCCGATGATCCGATAAACCGATGATCCGATGGGTCTGCCGGGCTTTCGAGCGCATGGCTTTCTACCGGATGGCTTTCTTCGTGTAGAAAGGCCAGCGACACTTGGTTCTGCGTTTCTTTTTCACCGTCGGTACACCAGAACTTTTTTGCACGAGTTGGGCCACAGGGTCTCGCATGTGAAGAGAGGCAGGTTTCTTGACAAAGCTGTGGTCGCCTTCTCCGTGGGGGGCGTCCTTAGTTGCCTTTGGCCAGTCCACCCGTGAACTGAGCGATGTTTAGTCCCAAACTGCATTCTACAGACCTGTTCCGGGTATGTAATGCATTGCTTCATGCTTTGGAAACCGTTAGATTGTTTGACACATTGAAACTGGTCAGTTTCTTGGCAACAAAGTCGTTGTCAGTAACAGTTTAGTGGTTCGAGACATTCCAAAATAGATAGACAAGTATGTATATATAAGTATATAAGTAAATCCCGGTATATCTCCTGTGCACATGTATTGGAAGTTGTTTTCAAGGGACCTCTACATGGGGCGACATGTGTTTGTCAAAAGCCCCAAGCGCTGGTCGGATTGTGATGCGGCGATGCTGGTCTTTGGTCTGGTGGGGACTCCGGTCACCGGGGGGCGTGTGACAGCGCTGGACATGGAAGTGGATATAAATGGATATAAGCACTGCAGAATGCAATCGTTGCCTTGTCATGTTCGGGTAGAGGGACTCTTCATTCGCATTCAAAAAGTTCCAGCATGGTGCTGAGGCAACTGGGAGAACATCCTCAAGGAGCTTGTGGTTACTTCTTGGACAGATTCAGCTGCGAAGGAAATTGAGTCCCCAGAACCCCACAGCAGGAACTCCTTTCAGACCACGGTCAGACCACACGCCGTGGGGATTGACGGGGTCGACCTTGAGTTGAGCTGTCGAGCTGTTGATGGGAAGACCCCTCCAATGGGATCGGTGCTGCTCGAAGACGCCGTAGGACTTCCGAAAGATGCAAGTGCAAATCCAATCTCAGATAGGCCGGGCCTGGGAGGGACTCGCAGCAGACGGCATCGAGGACCTGCTCGAGCAGTGTATTGTAGTTGAAGAATCGAAGAGCGGAGGTGATGTACTCGAGGTGTGTTGCATTCAAAACGCAGGAAGTGTGGAAAGTGTTGAAGGAAGGCATCGAGGTGGAAAGACGTATCTCGGAACTGACTGAGGAGAGTCAGTAGAAGTCCTTGCAATTTGCGAAGTGATGTGAGGTCAATGAGCACCCCACATTCGCTCCGCCATAGGAATGTATATAATTGTATATATACTATTTGGTTGTACCATGTGGTACCTCAAATTCTTGGCCGAAACGGTTACCTCGAAGCTTGGCTCATGGCGGTGTCCTCAAGCCAGCCAAGTGGGGCACCAGCAGCACCAACCCTAGTGATCCGAAGTTCATGTGTCATTGCCAGGGTCCTTTTTGTTCAGTCTCCATTTGGTTATTAGCTTGGTTCATAATGGTCTCTCGACGTTTGAGATGGATCCGCTGTCAATCTGCGACCAGAGCTCCCAAAGGCTGCTGCACCCATCGCGAGGTTCGAATGTGAACCACCAGCATCCACTGGGATAAGCTGGGGGAGCTAGGAGACTGGAATGGGGCCTGATCAGTCTGCTGTTTGCAAATCTATCTCTCTTCTTTCTCAAGTGGTTGTCAAAAAGGCAGTCCAAAACCCTGGTAGGTGCACAGACTGCACTATTGTATATTTATATTTTTGTTTGATATTTTTGATGTGTTTCAGTTGGGTGGTTTTACCGGTTAGTCACATGTTCCCCATGGTGAAATTCGGTGCCGGATGCAGTCTCAGAACCGAAAAACGTCACGTTTGGCAGGTGGCTGACGGCCGCAGGCAGCGCCCGGCTGCGACAGCGCAGGCAGTTTCACTCCTTTGGTAGCTCGGCCTCGGCAGAATGTTGTGCGAAGCCCAAAAAAGCGTGAAGTGATGGAGTGCAAATGGCGGCAATGCACAAAGCTAAATTGAAGGGCGAGGATGGAGGACATGATTTGTATTTCGTTGCATTTTAGTTGCTTTGTATGGTGTCAAGCAAAGTGTGGCGATCCGTCAAAGCTATACCCGCCGACGCGCTCCACGCATTGATCAGTCTACCAACAGTCAGCACACATGGAGCCCACTGATCAGAGCGTGCTTCCCGCTTCCCTGAACCCGTGACTATGCACAGTTGTGGCCAAGAACCCTCTCGACATCCCTCGACCATAGGTACCCCAGTAGGGTCCTATAAGGTCACTCGACCTCTCTTGGCAGTCGGTGTACCTGACAGCTCCGTTCGTTGCATGGCGCCAGCTCTGTTGCATGGAGTCGGCGGGTATCGCCAAGCGTCGGAGTGGAAGGAAGCGGGGCGGTGCATGTCGCTGGAGTTCCAACGTCAACGCTTGGAGGACGGGACGTCAACGCCCAACTTCTGTGTCTGCCCTGTCCTCCCAACTCTGACAGACAGCGCTGCCGTTTTCGTGACCGTTCCGCCATCACACGACGAGCAGGTTTGCAACACTCACCGCTCACCGAGGGTTTTGCATCGCTCACCGGGCTAGTGGAGGGCTTACTCCATTCATATACTTCAAGGATCTTCACACATCAAAGTGACAAGACCACTTCTGGCAGCAAGAGAGCAACGCCAAGCCCCGAAACTCGACCCTGGGAGACCCACGTGTCTCTTGAGGAGGGCGGACCACCCGCACACACACACACACACACATGGTGTCATGCGGAAATAATAGTTTGGAACGTCCATGGATGAATCCGAGCATTTCTTGACCCCTGGTTTTTTTTCTCACTCGCGATCAAACAACCGAACATCCAACGCCGCGCAGCGTCCCCGCGGAAGCGCACGTCTGGCACGGCAGCGCGACGTCATCCACCGAACACGTCCGAAGCCGAAGCGCTCCTTGGTTTCTTGGGCAAACCAAGACGTTTCGGTGGCAGCAGTCAGGATCCGCGTGCCGCATTTGACCGATGCTTGGTGTTTGCAGCAGGTGTCGCCCATCCATTCCTCCTCCACGCATTACTGTTAGCAACATGTGTTTTTGCATGGTTTTGCGCCCAACACTGCAGCCTCCCTTGTTGAGACCCGAAACATTGGAGCTTCTGCCGGGTGCACCCGGTGCAAAACAGGTACTGTATGAAAACTTCATGGTTTGCCAGTTGCTTATTAAGGAAAGACTAGTTGAAATGACAAGACTCGCTAGAAGTATCACTGCAACTCACCGGCACTACAGCCACACAGCCGACCGCAACTGCCTTGTGGTCGGTACATGGAAACCACCACCACGACCACCACCGCCGCCCGATCACGACCACGACCACGATCACGACGGGTGGTGGACACACACACGCACACACTTATGGATATGCGTACTGACTTGACAGCGGTGCCACACGCCAGCCTAAGTTATTTAGAAGGCCTGAGATGTCAGGAAATAGTAGGTTAAAGGCCATCGGTTTTGGGGTTGGAGGTCAACGCAGGGCTGTTGAGGGCCAAGACCTAAGGTTGGAGGCCATCGCTAGTAGGCGGTGGACCATAGACACAAAGTGACAGCAAGAAGCAAAGTTGGAGGTCATCGCTAGTAGGTTGGAGGCCAGGGTATCAAGTTGGAGGCCAGTGCTACCAGGTTACAAAACACAAGAAAAAACACAAGACAGCCAAGGTTGGAGGTCCTCGCTAGTGGGTGGAGGCCAGGGAACCAAGTTGGAGGCCAGTGCTACAAGGTTACAAAAGCACAAGAAAAAACAAGACAGCCAAAGTTGGAGGTCCTTGCTAGTGGGTGGAGGCCAGGGTACCAAGTTGGAGGCCAGTGCTACAAGGTTACAAAAAACACAAAAGCACAAGAAACACAAGACAGCAAGGTTGGGGGCCAATCTAGTGGGTGGAGGCCAAAGTTCAGGTTAGAGAACCCCTTACAAAGTTGGGAGGCCTACCTGCAAACCTGTAGAGTGGTCTAGAGGAAAACAGAAGGAAAGGCACTGACACACAAGTGTGTCGAGTACCATTTCCTCCTGTTTTCCTAAATAGTGGAACAGGTACACGTGGATGATCAGTCCACCCATCCCTCGTCATACCGTAGCTTCATTGCGTACGGTGGGTATGACGAGCCGTACGCCCCTGTTCCAAACCTAAAGGTTCCCTTTGATTCCAAGTGTGTACACGCCTCCCCGAAGGGAGGCATGTGTGGCCTCCATCCTGCCCGGAAAGGAGGCAAGGCGCATGTGCACGCAAAAGGGACAGATGAGAATGAAAAGGACGAGAGAGACAAAGGTGTGTGTGGTTGCCGATGAAGAAGAACCAAGTGAAGAGGGACAACCGATGAACCAAACCTCATTGTAACGAACCTGGGCCACCTGAACCTCGTTGTAAGTAGAGTACGCGTGCGTGTATGTGTGCAAGCTAAGGTCCGGGCGATAGTACGCGCAAGAGAAAGAAAGGATGGGGATGAAGAGACATGAAGACAGAAAGACATGAAAGAAAAGAAGGAAAAAAACGTCTGTGGGGGCCGATGAAAGGGGAACCAAATGAACGGGGACAAGCCGGTGACAGCCCAAACCTCATTAGAAAACCGGTTGCAGAAGCCTAGTTTGCTTGTAAACATGCCGCGCGCGAGGAAAGAGGGGGGAGGGGGAGGGAGAAAAAAGAGGGAAAGAAAGAAGGAAGCAGAGGTGCTCCCAGCTACGACACAAGCGTCCAAGGACACACCAAAAAGGAAGGGCTCCCAGCTATGACGAAAGCATCCAGGGACACCCAAGGAAGAGGGTGAAGAGAGGAAAGAGAGAAGGAAAGAAAGAGAGAGGGAGAGAAAGGGAGAGGAGAGAAAGGAAGGTGTTCCCAGCTACGAACAATCGTCCAGGGACACACCAAAGAAAGAAAGGGGAGATCCTGAGTATTCCACTCAGGAAAACACCAGAAAGCAAAGAAAAAAGGGGGAGGGAAGGGGGAGGGGGACTAAGTGCTCGACAGGTTCCAATGAACCTTGAACAAACTTCGGTCGCTGTGACCACGCACGGCATGCCCGAGGGCGGCCACCTCTGACCGCTGCGGTCACGTAAAGGCATGAGCCTCTGGTGGCATGAGCCAGCTACTGTCCGCTGTGGACACGTACATCCCCAGGCAAGGGAGATAACGACAAACGCCCGTTCGACGGGTCCACGGGAGGCACTCCACGGGCTCATCCCACGCCAGCCTTTAGAAGGCCTGAGATGTCAGGAAATAGTAGGTCAAAGGCTAAAGGCCATCGGTTTTGGGTTGGAGGTCAACGCAGGGCTGTTGAGGGCCAAGGCCTAAGGTTGGAGGCCATCGCTAGTAGGCGGTGGACCACAGACACAAAGTGACAGCAAGAAGCAAAGTTGGAGGTCATCGCTAGTAGGTTGGAGGCCAGGGTACCAAGTTGGAGGCCAGTGCTAGCAGGTTACAAAACACAAGAAAAAACACAAGACAGCCAAGGTTGGAGGTCCTCGCTAGTGGGTGGAGGCCAGGGTACCAAGTTGGAAGCCAGTGCTACAAGGCTACAAAAGCACAAGAAAAAAACAAGACAGCCAAAGTTGGAGGTCCTCGCTAGTGGGTGGAGGCCAGGGTACCAAGTTGGAGGCCAGTGCTACAAGGTTACAAAAAACACAAAAGCACAAGAAACACAAGACAGCAAGGTTGGGGGCCAATCTAGTGGGTGGAGGCCAAAGTTCAGGTTAGAGAACCCCTTACAAAGTTGGGAGGCCTACCTGCAAACCGGTAGAGTAGACTAACGCACAAGTGTGTCGAGTACCATTTCCTCCTGTTTTCCTAAATAGTGGAACAGGTACACGTGGATGATCAGTCCACCCATCCCTCGTCATACCGTAGCTACATTGCGTACGGTGGGTATGACGAGCCGTACGCCCCTGTTCCAAACCTAAAGGTTCCCTTTGATTCCAAGGGTTACACACCCACCCACCCACCCACCCACCCACGCGCGCACGCCCGCCCGCTCGCCCACGCACACACACACACACGCACACTTACTTGAGAAAGAACTCCAAAGAGCAAGGTTTTTGTGTGGACCTCGGGGTGCATTAGCCCATTAGGATCTAGTGACGACATTACCCAAATTGAGCGCTCAACCTGTTGAGAAACCCACAGCAGCATTGTTTATATCACAGTTGCTTCAGACGTGCAAGTATGTGCAGCTGATCAGGCTGCATATCCTGAGGGCACCATGGAAAGCTTCGTTGGGCACAGCTCTACGCGCCTCCTGTCCCCCCGTGCGGTTATCTGTGCATGGAAAGTGGTGAAATAGCAAAAAGAGGAAAGGGTAGTAACCGTAGATGGTACTAGTAGAGCCCCTGGAGACTGGAGGTGGCGCGCGCACAATGAGCTGTGTCGGCGCAACTAGTGAACAGCGCAAGAAAAGAGGGAACAATACTCCGGTGGAACATTCAAAGCAATGGTCTGCAGGTGAACGGTTCCTTTTGCCGCTGCGCCACGGTGCAATGACTGTGACTCTGGCTTTTGGCCACGAACTGTCTCATTGTGGGTTGTCTGTGTGCTTGTAAAGGTGTATTTGCAGATGGTAGGTGCTTGTGGTTGCAAACCAGATAGTGGCAGTCACTGGCTGTCAGCTGACTGGGCGACTGGGCGTCACAGATTTGCCGTGCGACTCAGTGGTGGAAACCAAGCGAGTAGACTGGATGTGCAAGAGTTGTCAATGGGAGAGTGTCAGTGAAAAGATTCGTTGAAAGAACGCAACTGCTATCAACGCGGGAGCGTTGAGGAGGGCTAGGGAAGGCTGGGTGAAAATTGTGTCGGAAATGTGGTGCCAGGTGTGTTCCATGAGTGCAATGGCAACGTTGCAAGGTGCGGGAGAAAGCTGGCGAAAAAAACGCGCGTGTAGTCACGAAAGGTGGCCTGGCAAAGACAACCTGGAGTTTGCTT